GGGTTCCCCTTTCTTTCTTAGTTCATTTTTCTTCTACAGAATCTCTGTTTTCACCTATAGTAACATCTGCTCCTTGCACTCCTAAGGTTGTTTCTGCTTTTCGATTTTTTCATTCCAAATTTCTGAAGAAATATATACGGAAAACCTTAAATGTTTTACGTCACCATTGACACATTTTATACCATTTAGGAGGTGGACTGCTTCGACCCTGCTAGTCAGTCTCAACCCGGGCTGAGTGGGATTCAAATGTCCTGCCAGACAGAGGGGAAGATATTCAATTAAAAAAAAAAAAATCCCACACGGGAATCGAACTCATATTTTTTTAGTGTGACGGCGAAACACATAACCGGGGATAAACCGCTACACTCTACACCACAGGCCGCGGTTAGAATCTTTGCTTTTCCCTTTACTCTGTTATGTGTGAGCGTGCCTCATCTCATTTTTCTCTTTCCACCCTTGGTGCTTTTGACCCTTTTTGTTTTTCGTTGTATAGTTCACGTATAAGACGTCTTGTTCCTTACGTTTGTCTCTCGGTACACCGGTGTTGATCCCTATCACTGGTAAAAGAGAAAACGTTAAAATGACAGTAGGTTAACCCCCCGAAAATGCCTTTGCTTACCTTTTAAGTCTAACCCTTCTTTCTGTTTCTTTTATTCACAGATTTGAATGGAGTGAGACCATAATATGACTGAATTTTCTGGAGAGAGAAAAAAAAACGACAACATTACAGCGCCCTTCTTGAGTACACAAGCCACGTCCAAGTTTTGAGTAGTCTAATTCTCCTATATATTTTTTAAGAGCAGCAACAACGACGACAACAGCAGCAACAGTAGCAGCAGCAGCAGCAGCAGTAACAACAACAGCAACAACAACAGCGACACGTGACCCTGGCGAGAAGCACACTTCTCGGGGTCGCGGACAGTCGCAGCGGTGACAAAACAACTGCAACAATTGACTCGGTTGCCCTTTAAACCTGTTGACTATACAAAACACAACAGCAACAGCATTAACAACAACAACTGCAACAACAACTACAACAACGGGATTTTCTAACATTCATTCAGCATTAGCGGCAGACAACGAGGTGTTAAATTTAGGCGACGTCTTCCCACCATTGTCTGATGGTCCTGAACACTTCCTGATGAAAGACTGGCGAGAGCTGGGAGGGGAGATCAAAATCGTTGGATTAAAAAAAGGTACAAAATGATTAATGAACGAAGACCAGATCAATTATGATGGCCTAACGTTGTCATAGTCGATTTTCATCACAGCGTGAGCTCAAATCAGACATTCTGTTAAGGACACGGAAACTCACGACGAAAATCGACCTCAAACCCCGTGCAAATTGACAAAAAGAGCTGGCATGTATCACGAAAAGTTTTGACGTTACATAATATTCTACTGTTCACACCCCAAGAGAGAAAAATGCCAGCCACCTACCCAGTGAGCCGCCAACTCACAATCTCTATTGTGTTGGTCTGAGTTTGAGACAATTAAACATTTATACCCTGAGAGATTTCGTTGAAGAGGAGATTTGACTCGTAGGCCAACGCAAGAAGTTGAAAACAAAACTACGTCCGGTTCGCTATCATATACGCAGCTTTAAATACCCTCGAGGCGGGAGCAGACGAGCGTCTGTAGTAATCTACCTCGCGCCTTCTGTGATTTTCTTCTCCTATTGTGCTCCAGGGAAGATCAGTCTTGACGGTGTGACCACAAGGGACCAAACAGTGTGAAAACAGAGAGTTTGTCGCGAGACATTCAAAGTGACCCATAGGCCTGGTCCTAAAGAATCATCTACAAAAAACAGCAACAACAGCAACAACAACGCAAGCAAAACCCTCAAATCATCACCACCACCCTCCTATTTTTTCACATTGGTCTACGCACACTTTTTACTACTACTGTTTCAGAAAACGTTCTGAAGATTCTTGCTCGTCGATCTTGCATCGTTTCATCAAGGGGAGAGAGAGAAAGAGAGAAAACAAGCTACCATTACCCGCCAAATCAATCATGAAGCTGAACGTGTTCCAGATCGTTCTCACCAACAGTGACGCTGTGTATTTCTCTGGACAGGTGCTGCAAGGTCACGTGATCTTAGAGCTCACCAAAAACACCAAAGTGTCAGGTAAGATAACCGGCAATTTTGTGTACTTGTTATGTTTCGCAATGTGACGTATATAATACGTATTATGTATTTTATATAAAACATATATATATATTTATTTATTTTAAAAAAAAAAATTTTTTGGGGGGGGAGGGGGGAGTGTTTCTGTGATTGCAACTGCATAAGGTCATAAATTATTATGAGCGCGCAGGACATATTAAACATTTTTAGTTGGTATGAAATTTTGAATTTTGCCTGGGTGGCTTTATCGATTTTGGACCACCAAGGGATCTTTAGCGTGCGCAACTTGCACACGAGACCTCCGAGATTGTTAGCCTTTATCCGAGAAAGCTATGTGTAGATCTTTCCTACCATAAGGTCAGGAGGTGTGTAAAAAGGAGGCAAGGAGTAGCAGCAGATAGGTTGCAGAAAGAATCAGGAACCCAGAGGAGGGGGCAAAGGAGGTGAGGGGTTGGGAGCAGAAAATGAAGAAGAAAGCAGACGACAGAACATTGTTAGATCTAGAGGGCAGGAAAGGATGTGAAAGGAGAACATTTTAGAGAAGGACATTTTCCGTCGCTATATGGATTCGAACTTGGGACCTATCGAATGAGAGGCAAATACCTTAACCTCTAGACCATGAGAGCCCCCATACAATAGTCAGTTTTAGTAAGAGTTTTACGGCACTTGCAACACAATAAGGTCAAAGAAGTGCCGAAGATTAGAGGTGTTACAAGAGAGTAACAAACACAAAAAAGAAGGAGATGAGACAAGGACGATAGATGTTTGAAAGGAAAGAAGAAGCGAACCACACAAGAGCACCCGCCAACAACCCACCCATATAATGTAGGCCTATATTCAAATATACATACATACATACATACATACATACATACATACATACATACATACATACATACATACATACATACATACATACATACATACTCG